AATAGTATTGGTTTTGGTCTTGCGTTCGCAAGAGTGAGTAAGATGAAACTTTTTTAATAAGGGCTTTATTATTTTGGAAATTTGGCAGCCTACGGGTCTTATTTGCTTACAATTGCCTCACATTTTCCCTACTTACTGCCCTGAAATACCATAGCTATACTTGGAGGCAACTCACGCAGAGCAGCACACGTCACGGTTTGGTGAAGAAAAATGCGAGTTGGCATACTAAGTCGAGCAACTTAAGCTGCTTGCCAGTGCTTAGACTTATATTAAAGAGAAAGAAGTGAAAACAAACGGGAACGGCAGAATAGCAAGGGACCAATCACGACCCTTGGAAGGCATAGAAAAATGTGGATCCGCAACCTGGCAAGTGATACATTAAGGTCTACGATGTGAAAAAATATAGGCAAATATGCCTACATTAAGCAAGAAGAAGAAGAAGAAAAAATAAGCATTATAATTTTAAATGAGTAACTTTTCTGTATAAAAAAAATTAACAAATTTAGTTAGTATGTGGATTAATTAGGTACTAATAAAAGTTGATTCAAAATATCTCATTTCGTCAACATTTATCATTGTCTTTACCTTCTCTTTACTTTACCATTGTACCTTGTACCTTATATATTGCGAATAATTAAATTTTTATTAAATATTTCCTATAAACGTATGACCTTGACTATATCCATTTTCCAATATTTTGTTAGTTTTTCCATAAGAAATCTACGGAGTCACCTAAGGGACATCTTGTATTTAATTTAGTTGGTTGATTACGTGAAATAGTTGCAAATGGATTTACTATGTTTACGAGAGAAACCACAAATTAAAAAATTTGTGCAATGCCTTCAATAGTGTAAAATTTTTAAATTAAAAGCAAATGTGTTTTGATTTTATATACACCGCTTTGTTGAATTACCTGGATCGACCAAAAACCCTTTTAAAAACACTTCACTAAAAAAACTAAGCGGCGCCAAATTGAAAATTGAAAATTGAAAGAAGACCATGAAATCATATGTCCTATTTTCCATCTTTCAGCAATTTTGCATAGAATTTATTTAATATTCTATTGAGAATAATATTCTTTACATTCCAAATAGTTTTATTAAAAATATTTATTCAGATGTTATTAATGTAAAAGATAACCGTTCAAAATTTTAAATTAAAAAAATTCAACATTGAACCATCTGAGAAAATGGCGGTCATTTTGATTATCTCATATAAAAGTTCTTAGTTTTCTAATAGTATATTATGCAACAATTTTAATACACTATATCTTATTGTTTAATAAAGGGGTATCCGAACAAGTTTATATGTTTTCTACGACCTTCAGGAAAGAAATCACTAAATGATGTGATGAATGCAGAACACTCGCAAAACCATCAAAACCAACCAACTTAAAAAAAAACCATCCGATTGGTTGCAATCCGCAACTAAAGTACAGAAAACGCTCGTTTTGTAGAATAGGGGGTACAATTTTTTTCTACAACAATGAAACATATACTGTAATAATTATATTTGTAACTAATTTAATTTTTTGTATTTTTTTATGTTTTGGATAACAATATACGATATTCGAGGTTGTTACGAAGTGATTTAAAAATAAAGAACGTATCTTACTAAAACTCTAAAAAACTAACCAAAAATTTTTTTTGCTAAAATAACCGTATACGAAATATTTTTGAAAAGGCCATATTATTTATTCCTAATCAAAGTAAAAACTAATATTGATCGGACCCTATGCTTATTCTCAAAGGCATTAAATTCTATATAAAAAGTTAAACGGAAAGTTACAGTTTTTAGAGCATAATTCTGTCCTTATTTATTGTTTGGACGCCGCGTTCAAAGTAAGTGTAAGTATTTGTTTATTTCACTAGCAGCGGTACAATTTAAATTATTGAATTGAAACGTGGTTGCTCAATCAGGAAATTTAACACAAAGCCTCGATAAACTTTCAAAGGCTTTCACCACTGACCAATAATTTTATTACCAAATTTGACTAAATTGATAGTAAAATTGCATTAATTACTAGTTCATATGAGAGAGTGGTCAAGTAACATCTTTTTAAATTGCGTAGTGGTTTTGAAGGTAAACTGAATAACATCTATGTACTGTTATCGCGATGTTTCAGAGGAAACCAAGCGCGAATTTTGTCAAGTCACGCCGGGTTATCTGCTTATTTTATTAAGCTTTATGGGCGGATGATCGCAGTTAGTTATTAGGCTGGTGCTTTTAGGCGCTTTATGCAATTAATTTGCATGTTATAGGATTTATGTAGAAGTTTGAACGGAAAATTTAGTTTCGTTAACATTTTTCCAATATAAATAACGAAACAACAACAATTACGGCAAAGACTAAATAGGTTATTTAGTTTGGTATAACACGAAATTAAAGTTCAAAGGTGGTGAGAACCGCACCGCTCAAAAACACCTCTTTAACTAGAGCACACAACATTTCCGTTGGAATGTAATTAACGCCTTTAAAAGAGTATAACAGAAAGTGGCAATTAATTAACTAATGATCGAAAATATGCAACCCGCAATATTTTGCCCTTGCACCAGCTAAAATTTACAATTTTCTAAAAATGTTTTTTTATATTAGATTCTGAGATAAAATCCCAGATTAACAATAAAAATAAGAATAGAGTAAGAGTTTTATCGGTATATTTTAGGTGGATCTAAACATAACTAACTAAACAATAACTAAGTTGCAATGATAGTATTAACAACTAAGAGTATATTAAAGATTTAAGAGTTAACTGTCACAACAGAACACTTTCTCAATTTTGCGAAAAACCAATCGATTTTTGTTGTTGTTTGTTTTTGAGTATTCCATATGGTTTCGTATATACTAGAACTTGTTGTTGTTTTTACTACTAGTAAATACGTAAATAAAGTATCCTTTAGACAGACAATAAACAAATTGCCCCTGACCAAGCAAAAACAAACTGACAATCGGTGTTCTGGCAACTACGAAGAACAATTCCATATCGATTTCAGAAAAAAGTTATATAAATAAATACATATATTGTATGTTATCTTTTGATCTTCTTATAAACATTTAGCATTGGCATTCCATGTAAAAATATCTCCATAACTAAAAAGGTATTTCCACAGCGATTTTAAGGATTGATTGAGAATTTTTTTTCTAACAAAACCAAAATGGTTTGGCTCCTTCCGTTGGTTAGGATGAGTTGTGACTTCTTTTTTTCAATTTATTTGTGGACCTAGCTCCTATACAGGGTGTCCAGTATAAGATGATATACATAGGGATATTGGAAACTGTAAGAGATGCAACGTCGCTTAAATGGAAGAAAAGTAGTGTATCTATACGCCAGAAAATAAATTTAAATTTTAAATCGATACTCCTACAGGTTGGAAAAGGAAAATGACCATTTTTGAAAAACCACAATATGTTTTTCCAACAAGCAAAATGCATAGATTATTACGAACTTTTTAAATGCAGAATTTCCCAACAGGTGGACCAGTCAGATGGCCTGCGAGATCCCCAGACATAACATCCCTTGATTTCTTTGTATGGGATCACTTTCTAAATCAACTATAGAGTGGGTCCTATGGAAACGTTGAAGAATTAAGCTGTTACAGAAGATGTTACCAGTATCACTCCGCAAATGTTAAGGCAGTTGTGTGAAGTAGTGTGAAGATGATGTATATTATACGTGCAACAAAAGGGCGGATTATTTGAACACTTACTATAATTTTATTGTAAAATTCTGTGTATTATCTTCGATTTTTTGGGCGTTAAAGAAGTAAAGAACCTTTAAGGGTATGTTAAAAAATTATACTGATTTCTTTTCCCGATCCTCTATCTTCAATTTTATTGACTCCTTTCTTGTCCATTCGTTTATTTAAATGTGTTTTAAAACTGAAGCCGACTGTCCTAAAATCTTATTTATCTTGATCAAACACAAATATGTTACACATGGTTGAAAAATATTTTTAAAGAGGATTTTGGAAATGTAGAAATTCAATATGGCGCCCATAAGAAAAACAAAAGTTGACTTCGGCCGTACGTAACATAGTAGATGTAATTATTTTTTGACGCCATTTTTAGCATCGCTATATCCTTTTACCCGTATCCTGAAAATTTGAACATTTCAGCTCCAATAAGGAAAATGTTGTGGTTTTTCAAAAATGGGCATTTTCCTTTTCACCTGTAAGTGTATCGATTTAAAATAAAACAAAGCTAGATTATTTTTTGGAATACATATACGCTACTTTCCTTCCATTTAAGCGACGCTGTATCTGCTTCCAATATTCCCATGTACATCAACTTATCCTGGACACCCTGTATAGAGCTAGGGCCACAAATAAATAAAAAAAGAAGTCACAACTCATCATAACCAAGGCAAGAAGCCAAACCGCTGTGGAAAGTGGAAGTTGAGAAATATTTTCTACGTTTTACCACGGCTGACGTTATGTCAGAAACTTACTAATAATTGCTACATTTATCATGCTCTATGCCTTATTGGAATACTTTTCTTTATCTGTGTTTGAACAAAAACTCCTCTTTCTGCCCCAAATTTATAATATCGAATTCATCAGGGTTACTAAAACGTTGGTTATAAAAATAAAAGTAAAAGACATACATTTTTATTGATGACATAATTGGAATACGGGTCAAAAATATCATCGCATCGTTTTGTTTAATTGTATTATACCTATCCAAGAGGTTCCAACGGATATTCTCTAATAATAAATATTCTGATAAAATTACTGTACTTTCGGGAGAGTCATAAGGTTCTATTCATAAACGAGGCTTAAAATACAGATCATAGTGCCAATCGTAGTTTTTTTTTATATAGCAGTTGCATGAGTTATTTAACAATCAAAACCTTATTATTTTGAAATTTATTATAAAAAGTGTATTAACGATACGGCGATCGTAAAAATGTATCCAAAGGTTTTGATTGCAAAATCGATAAAAATCGACTTTTATGCATTTTGTCGATAATATAACGTTTAATAGAAGCGAATGAAACTTACCTTGCAAACTACCCCTTTTCTTATTCGGTCGTGGAAAGTTTGGCGAAAAGTCAGCTTCTTCGCGGGATGGGTAACTCTTCGGAATTCAACAGGTTGTGGCACACTGGAGACGCCGGTGTCGCGTCGAGCTTATAGCAACGGGGGATGAACGCGTTATAATCGGCTCCGGATAGGCAGAGCGTCGCCTGTTCGGATGCCGTAGAAGAGACGTCGTCTGTGAGCGCCGAGACGCCGATGGCTTGTCTTTATAGGCGTCGTCGACATGCGCCGGCCGTAAAGGTGATGCTGATGGGCAGCGACTTGTCCGCCGCACGAAGAACCGGAGACGTCAATTGCCGGCTAGTGGGCAGAAAAATCGGAATGACATCGAACAAAAAGTCCATTTGAGAGACTAAAAATAAATTATTATCCAATCCGTATTAGGTAATGGGTAATAATCACTAATAATTATTAACCCTTTAAGCTTCAGCTGTGCTTCAATGGTTCGTTGATTTTAAACTATCGACCGTAGGCGTAAGTTGGGATAATAACATATAATACAACAGGTGTCACAAACTCTATTTTAGTCAGTAGTTTCATTTGTCACAAGCGAAGCATAGCAAACATAACGAGTCACTGAAGAAGTTTATCAACATGTTGCGTATTGTACTTTTTCATCACGAATAGATTCACTGAAAGACTGTGGCCTAGTCGTCATAATTGACAAACGTCAAAATAACATTGCGACGAAACATGTGGCTGAAGTTAGATTTGGATTCGGATTTGCGAATATTACAGTGGACCAGTTCGTTATTTCCCGTAACTAAAAAAACGCATTCCTGTGGAAATGCCGGGAAATTAAGCACGGAAATATTGTAAGGGAACTCTCAAAAACTATATGCAATGTCGCTATACAGAAAATAACACCTTCTCCGCTCATATCACAGCAAATAATAATTTAACTAATATTTCGCGATCTCGAAAATATCTGAAGTTGTCCCAGATGTTCAACCAGACCATTGAAGAGATACCTTGGGGAGCTTCAAAATAATGTATTACTCAACCACCTTGAAGCGGTCGGGGATATATAAATCTACCCCCGATAATGAAATAACCAAATATTCGTTTTATTTATTTCAGAATCTCAAAAAAAGCGGACGTTCTCCCAGATATTGAATTAGACCATTGAAGAACCACTTGGCAGAGCTTCAAAATGATGTACTACTCAACCACCATGAAATGGTCGCGAAGATATAAAACTTCCCCAATAATGAAATAACCAAATATTCGTTTTATTTAATTCGCAATCTCAAAAAAAGCTGACGTCCCAGATACTGAATTAGAACATTGAAGAGCCACTTAGGAGAGCTTCAAAATGATGTACTACTCAACCACGTTAAAGCGGTCGGGAAGGTATAAAACTACCCCCAATAATGAAATAACCAAATATTCGTTTTATTTAATTCGCAAGGAATACGTTTTTTAAATTAAAGTAAATAATCCAAATCTAACTTCAGCCACCACGACGAAACTGACGTCTTAAAATGACATATCCTGCACACTTGATGCATGCATAATTGATATTTTAAAGTAGGGGATATAAAAACAACGTTTTATTAACTTTTATAATTTGTATTTTTTCGGTTGAACACGAGGCAGTGCAGAAACTGACTCAAGAGTCAACAAAGGTCTACATTTGGTTTCTAAAAGTCCCCATTTTTTAATGACGTTGCCGCTTTTTTATTTATTCATTTATTTAGAATACTCTATAGGTAAACCCCAACTACAGAGAAAGGTACACGCTGAATTACAACTTGAAAAGATTATAATACAGCTTTATAATCAATTAAGTTTCGTAATGTATCACTTGATACTCCATTATAAAAATAAAGGATTTTGTATCTTTCAGCTTACCATAAAATGTTTATTTATATTTAATATATTAAAATATTTAGTACTACTCGGCATACATGGTATATAACGGAGAGTTAACAATAACAGTTCTGAACTCGTAGCCTGATATTACCGTAATCAGGGGTCAGAGATACATCAAACCATGGCCCAGAATTATATGGCACAATTGCATCTAAGGCAATATGTTCACAATATTAAGTTAGGCTTAAGGTTAGGTATTGTTGGCGATTATATTGAATAAGTTAGCAAATCAAACACCTGGGGATATTTTTGAATTAATAATTTGAATTAATTGTATGAAATTTTGACGTTCTGTTTTGCAAAAATGTACCCAAAATCTACTAGTACTAGTATAGCATGCAACATTTTCATAAACCTTTTCGTTTACTTGTTTTGCTAGACACTCGTTCCGGTGAGCTTCGGGCAGTTATAAAGAATTAATTAAACAATGAAAAATTAGAGGTAAGTTTTAGCAGCTTCTTGCTTAATTTGATCAGCAGTCATTATCTGCTTAGTACATGACGACAGCAAAACCAATAACACCAATCGTATAAACCCCAAACATATAGTCATTTGGTTCCATTTAATGTCCAATAAATATTTGACGGCATAAAACTCTACAAAATAATTCGATAATGCACCTACCTACACACATTTTGCCATTTGGAGCGCATAATATAAATCTAATTACCCGTCTGGTATTTCATACTATCACAAATAACCTCTTGCAATGAGATTTGATTTTTAAAATGGATTTTAGCTTTGCCGCTCTCGGTATTGCATTGTTAAATCCCAGTAGCGTGTGGAAACTCGTTATTAATGTACATATTTGTTTAATATATATTTGGGAAGGAAACCTAATAAACTGAAGCCGATAAGCTAAACTTTCAACACAGTAAAAAACTTTTTGCATTTTGGGAAGTTTAAAGCGGAGGTTTATTTATTTTATGGAAAAGGAACACTTTATAAGATATCGCTAACAGAAAAAAAGAACATGTATTCTTAAACACTGATGGTATTTTAACATTTTTGCAAAACGCCAAGAATACATCTCTCCAGTAGCTTGCAATGTTCCCAGAACTACCGTCAGTCCTGACAGATGTTATAATTCCATCATGACTAAAATATCGGAAACGCCCGAATTGCCTCGAAGTGACACTTTGAATAATTTGATCAGTACATATTTGGGCATATTTAAAGTAGAGAGTACACATTTTTTTCCCTATTCTTGGATACATATTTTAAATTATGTTGTGAATTTTCTCTTGCAGTTTTGTAATTTATGTTTTAGTGTGTGAAGATATACGTTAAGATTGCTTTCCTACTCCTACTCTATCTGCTGTCCTTGATGAGGCTGCATTCACACCTTCCGGTCCAGTAATCTTAGTCAGTGGTGGGAAGCAGGAGTTTCCTCCTTTTGTAAAAACAGCCTACATATCGTCGCACGCCTCCCATGATTTGGAGGTGTCTTCTTAGACTGACACTTTCGGTCCTGGAGGGTCTCGCACTCAGAACTCTCGACTGCAAAGAGCCTGTGCTTCAGAAGATTTCTTTAAATAGAAGAAACAAAAAATAACCTGAAATGAGATTCTTATTGCTAATTTAAATTAATTTAATTTTTATCTAGTCGTGAGCGCGTTTGTTATTTTGATTGGGGTTGTTATAATTACGACCGAATTATACTACCGGTTTAGACTGAAAAGGAACGAGGGCCATAGGGATATAGAATGCGCCTACGGATGACTAAAGCGCAAAAATCAACAAAAATTGGAATCCTTTTTTATTCGACTTTACAAATCCGAAGTTATTCTCGATAGGATTTCCCTCGAAAATTAGGATAAACGGCAATAAAATGTTTCTTTATCTGCCGACGGCTGGCTTTGCAAAATTTGAATATATTTCTTTCGCAACAATGTAATATAATAAGTGCAAATATATTTCTTTACCCTTTTTACAGTGTAGGAGTTCTGATCGGTCCATATACGCATTTACCATTGATATAGAGATTTTATCCTTGTTGGTAACACCTAAACTAACCAAGTAACCTTAGTAATAAATATCAAAAAAATTCAAGGGTTTATCTTTATGCAAAAAGTGCGAGAATTATGCGAAATTGAAGATTGAACAAAAATCTCACTATCTATCTCACTCTAGATAAAGTAGCTCATGAACTTTAATGTCATAAACTGAAAAGTTAAATTAATTTAATATATATAAAACTTCGACTATACAAAAGTTAATTTAAGTGTGACAAAAAAATAAATACTTCTATAAAATAACCAAATTTATTTAGATAAATTAAATAAGTAACATTTAAAATAAATAGACGCTATGTACAACGCACATTGCCCAAAAACAACAGAACAGTGTGGCACACAAAATTAAAAAAAAAAACAAAACCAATATAATAACTTGGAGCTAGGTATCGCATATTTTGCAATTCATTTACATCCCCCAGGCAGTAAACTCTTAAGAGCACTTATCCACCCCCAAAATTTTAAGTATACCTATTAAAAGTTGATCAAATTGAGCGAAATAAAAGGTTAATGAAAAATTATCAAATCCTAATTTATCCAACTAGACAAGTCAAGGCCGATCCCCTAATTAGGAAAACAGCTTAAGACTTCGTTTGATCGTTAAAAAGTAGGATGATCGGAAACCCTCTCTGCTTTTGATATATTTTTCAGATTTTAATTATTACTCGGTGGTTTTGTTTTTAAATTCAGGAAGCCGATGGCGTAGATTTCATTAATTTTATCAAACGAAGCAAGTATTCCTCGCAGCTTGAAGCCTAATTAGTCGGACGAGTGAACCATTTCCTTGGAATACAACTTCATCAACCTAAAAGAATGAACAATATTTAAAATCTTATGTGCATCTTTATATACTACTGTTGTGACAGAAAATATTAGTATTGGAGGAAAGAGGAAGAAAAAAGATTATATAAAAATAAAACATTGAAACTAGCTACACAGGGTGGGCGAATCAAGATGGGCCGGAGTATTACTCGTCTACAGAGTAATCTTTCCAAAATCTTTCTAGTACAAAAGTATATCTTATACAGTGGTATCAAAAATTGCGATGAATCATATAAATCAAAATTAATTTAACATCTATAATTTCTAAGAGGATAGAGTTAAACTTTGTTGTTTTCAAGTATCTAATTAAAGAATTGACAGGTTTTTCAATAGAATCAAACAAACGCTACTAAAGCTTAATTACTTGTTCAGTACTTAAACGATAATATAATATTTTCCAATGTCGATTTCATTCGCAATATAAAGTAAAATTATTTTAAACATTTTCACTCTTTTCCTTATAATTTTGTATCTAAGTAAAATACCCAATAATGCAATGATCGGGAGTACACTAGGTGTCACTTTTAAAAATTCAGATCCAAAAATCAAAAGTATTCCTTACAAATAGCCTGATGTTTCCCCTACGGTTTGCCATCAGTTAAGTCCATCGTTTAATTCCGTTTCAAAACCATTTTTATTTGTGTATATACTTTGTTGTATTTTATATGGCAATTAATAAAGCAACTAAGAAGAATATTAGTAACATATGGTGAACGAAACAAAATAAACAAAGTTAATGAAATATACTTACTTTTTATACATTTTCTTATCTAGTCTCTTGAGAATTTTCTCCGCTTGACAATAAGAACTCGAACAATATCCGGGCATATGCTCCTCCTTCTCAGAATACTTTTGAATTGCTTCATCAACGAAGTTTGCTATGTTATTTAATTTGTCCTCCACTGAAAATGTAATTAGTCAGTTTAATCTGAGAGATTACACCATTTAAAACTTAAATGATATTTGAACTTAAACAATTTAATCCACCGTAGACATCGAATAAGTCATTTAGATATTTTGGGTTTTATTTAAGTCACTTAATGTAAAGGATAGCACAAAGCAAAAGTTAAAGACACCTTATCTTAAATTGAACCCTGTTGCGTTTTGGAATTAGTCGGAAATTTTCTAGATATGTTTTATGTTCAGAGATCCTAATTTCAAACTCTCAAAGAAAGAGTCAGAACCGAACTAGTACAAGGGCAAGTTTAACAACTTAATTTGAAATGCTTTTTATGCGAATCATATGCTATAGCATATCCTACAGTTTTTACGCTTCAGGTTGAGTTTATCTATTAGTATATCGAGTATTTGCAACGTTGCAAACGATACAGTCATACATTTATACTTCGGAAAAATGTTCGTCAATGTATTACCGCGCTTTCATGTAAAACTGCAATTTGGATCATTTTCTTAGTAATTAAAGATATTTTTTTTGAACATCGTATTTCGAAAAGTTCCCGGTGGGATATATATTACCTGTTACCGTCGATTTTAAAATGCTTCTTTCATCTCCTTCGCCGTCATCTCCCAGAACTGAGCTACCCTTTTTTTTTAATGCGGGAATAAATAACAGCAGACACAAAATGGCTATCAAACTGACGATTTTTTTGAAAATTACCAGCTTTAGTAAAATTTTTCCAATAGTGAACAGATCAAGTTTCCACTTAAGTTTGTCCCATAAGCTTAGCATGGCGTGAGGCATGCCATAAAACACTTGAACGGATTGAGGACCTCCATATACCGGTCCGGGAGGACCGTATCTAAAATGAACACGTAAAGTTTCTTTTTTATTTTAGTGTCTAGCAATCAAAAAATATTTCTACCACAGTGCAAATATTTGAATAAAGCTACAAAAATGTCAAAGCAATTTTTGTTCTAATCAAATTTCGGTATAACTGTCTCTTTAATAGGTTTATAAATTTTACGTTCTGGATTCTACTCCCTTTTCCATATACAACACTTGTCAAAATTTATAAATAGCAAGACACTTAGGAACGATGTACCTGGAAAACAGCAATTCTCATCATTCATTTCAAGTTGTCAATTCAAATTAAAAATATATTTTGAGATAAAATAAAATTTCTATCGAAAATTCTTTTCTAGAAACCTACACCTAAATGTTTTGTGGTTGAACTAGGGCTTTACAATTTTGTCGATTGGGCAGAGTCAAACCAAACCAATCTACAAATTGTTTTGCAGAATTACATATCGTCGGCCATTTAGATTACTATTTGCGTTAAGAAACAAACAATGAGACTACCATACTAGCATAAATTACAATAAATTTGTTTAGAACAAACCCTTTTTAAAATGATGATGACTAGCGTGCGAAAAGTGACATTTTACCGCAGTTTCGTTTTCCACAGATTATGTCAATTCTGACCATCGTGTCATTGAATTTATTAGTCTTGTTTTGCAAAAATGTACCCAAGAACTAACGATCGTTGATAAAGTATACTTAGTATTCAACACATTTCGTAAACTTTTTGAGTCACTCGTTTATTAAACACTCGCTCCGCTTGTGACTTAAATGCCGTTTTTCTACTCCCGTCTGTAAAATGCCTGATTACCCACCGATCTAGTGTGCGGGAAGCATCACTTCACCACGTCAATTTTGTTTCCCATGAATCCGAGCCACTTCAGGCATTTCCAGGATATTACCGCACGGGTTTGGGAACGATAGGATGTTTTCTAATATTTTAATAATTCATATTTTATCTAAAACTTTTTTTTGGAATCGTACTACCGCTACTGAGTAGTTAACGTTAAAGTTCCTACCAGAAAAATAAGCAAAAAAAGAGTTATTGCTAAAATGAGAAATAAAAAAGAGTGGTTTCAGAACCATTGCATATTTGTTGAATTTACCTATTTTTTGTATTTATGAAGATTTGTTTTATACATGGCGATTCTGAACAAAAAAACAAAATCTTAGATATACTGACCGGGTGACCGGAAAAAACACTGAAATATTTGGGCATGTAATTTTAAAGATGAAAATTAGAAAAACATTTCGTATGACCATTGCCAGAATAATGGTTCTTAATGGGTAAGACCTTTTTAAAATAATACCATGAAGACAGTTTTTTTACAGTTTTGGAAAGATTTTCACGTTCGGTGTGCGTATCCCAGCTCACAGAAGGATGTCGGATTATGGGAAGTCGACATTGATATGTAGTGAGATTGGCCGATGGTAACAAATACATCAAAAGAATACTTGTAAAAAACGTCATTAAGAACTGATCTGTATACTATGGTTTGTAAATGTTATTAGTTGCGATTTTAATTTTATGAGTACTCTATTGATTCCCAGTTGCTTAGTTTTTATTTAGTCCCTTTGTCCGACTCTTTCAAAGAATGGCCTCTAGCAGACATCAAATCAAAATTTTCTATATTACCATGTACTAAAAATAGTATCCTGTTAATACAAACTGTGTAATGAACGACCATAATTTGTTTTCATTTATTACTTAAGTTATAAAATGTTACGTTACTTTTTTAATATTTTTATTTTGTCAGTTTTGAATTAGGAAACAAAAGAGTATTGTTTTTTTAGAGTGCAATAAAGTTGTTTTGCACAATCCGCATTTTATTTTGGCTAGCCCCTATTAATGGTAATGCCATATTCACCTGATTCGGTCATTTTTGCATAGATATTTTAAACATTTTAACGTATATTTCACTGTTGTCCGGGATATAGGTTACGATTGCAACATTTGTTGTAAGTGCTGAATGTCCATCAGTAATTGGTTTTGCAATTGCTTCGCAATAAATTTTCCTTAACATTTGACAATATTAAGGTACTGTTAATTTCGCCCTAATTGGCTCTTTAGTGATTACTCTAACCAAAAATTTACCGAGCGACAATCTAAACCAAGCACCAGTTATAGATGGATCACAAACACTTACTGAGTTTCCGGTGGTGGGCCATACTGTGGCGTTGGACCATAATGACCAGCAGGGGGACCATACTGAGATACAGGCGGTCTATACGGAGGGCTAGGAGGACCGTATTGATTTGGACCAAATTGTTCACCTCCCGATGGACCGGACGGTCCCGAATACACAGGATACTGCGGATCTACGTTGTAGGTCCTGTCGTTTTTCTTATCCGCATCTTTATTTTTAACTAATTCACTGTGAGATTCTTTGTACGCATCTAAATATGAATCTCGAGCGGACACCCTTAAAACTTCTTCGGCGAGCGACAAGCTAGCAAAGGTTACAATCACTAGAGCTAAATTGGCTTTCATGATTATCGATTGTTGCCGCACGGACGAGTGACCAAAACAGTTTTTCATGAAATGATTTGTGCCTCGTCGGAATTTAGTTTAATAGAACACTGTTCATTTCTTAGGGAAGATTCACTTGTTTAATATTCTTGTTGTCTACTGCCGCAATATATCGGGTACGTGCATATTATATGGAGAATGTCATAAGTATATCTTGAAGCGATTTGATTAATTTACGATTTACATTTCACAAATACAAGTGGCAAATAAAAAAATTACTGATGTTATAATAACAATGATAAAAATATATTTGAAAAGAAACATAATACATAAAAAAAATACAACTTATTGGTTTCTAAACATAATTATTTTGTGATTATTAATATACTTAAAATTGCTTTTGATTGTTTGGAGAGTGAAATATATTCTTACCTAAACAAGTAGCGATACGTTTCCATTTTTAGGGGTTTAAGTACAATGGTTGGTGCTCAACTCATAATTATAATACTGGCTAAATTGCCTGCAAATTCTCATTTTAAAAAATCTTCAAAAATTGTTGTTTGTTGTCTCGAAAACTATATGCAAATAAACCAGGAAACATAAATTTTAAAAAATGGTACCACTCTGTTTAGCAAAGCAAAAAAATCCCTTAAACACCTGAGATAGAAACATCCAAACAGAACAGCTAATCGAAAATAATAGGCAGGAAATCTCTATTTAAGACCCAAACAAAACAATAGGAATAACGTCATATCTTAACAAAAGAAGTATCTTGGAAAAATATGAATACGTCCAAAATGACCTGCGAATAAATACATAGCAGCAGGATGTATCTGTATCGGATACAAAAAATGCTCAATAAAAGGACTGAATGCCGATGTAACCATAAAACAAATTTGGAGACATGTTTACAATATACAGCTATTGCTCTTGTTACCTAGAATACAACATGAACAATACAAAGTATCCATCCAATATAGAAACTGACACTTCTATTTACATCACAGAAACCTTGGTTATCCTTTATAAAAAAATGTCATCCTACCTTTCTGACGAAATTTTCGCTCCCGGAAAGTAGATTGTAACATTTGTAGTAATTTTTAACAGGGACAAACACCTTAATCCGATGAGTAAAAATACCTCTTCATTAGTTTGAAGTGGCTTATTAAATATTATGATTTACGGAGTAGCGTAGTAAACACGCATTCACAATTAGCCTGATAAATTGTGAAACATGAAATGGAATCCGGATTTTATTTTATAAATCTACATAAAATTTGCGTACATTTTAAAGCTAAATTAGCAGTAATTCAAAATTTTCTTGTATTGTTGGAATGAAACTATCAAACGTCAAGACGACACCACTGGCATTGGTGAAAAAATGCGAGGATCTCGAAATTACTAAATAGGTAAAAGAAAAAATGTAACTATTTTTTAACAATGTATTAAATAAGTTTTAGGTATACGTTCTGAATTTCCTAAAATGTTTAACCGTTTTACTCTTTCATGCATTTATTCAAGAATTTCTTTCGGAAGACCTTTGTAAACTATTTGTCATATTTATTAAATTTTTTGACACAGCTGACAAGCTGCTTTCAGTATTTTGAGATTAAGTATGACAATAACTTTCTAAATTGTATAAGATTTTCTGTTGCATCCGAGACGTAACCACTTTTCTCAGTTTGTAATAATGATTATTACATTACTAACCAAAACTATCTTTTCTAATTATATAAATATGATAATAACAAAACTTCACAAAGGTTAAAATGTGGTGACAACTGTTAGTTTTAGTCGCACTATCCGATTTAAATAATCTGGAGCTTGATCATATAAAAAGGTCATGCTCTGCTTTAGATTTAAAATCGCGGCAATTTATTTTGAAGTCATTAACACCGTTGACGCGTAAAAAACTTCGTCCGCAACCAGAATTCTCTTACAAAAGTTCTCTCCATTTAAGGCCATTCACAGAATTTAGGCTGTCGCTAATCATGTGAGATTAAAACTCATCTTTAGAATTCTATCTATTTAGGTCTAGAAACATTTGAAAGATTTGTTGACTTTTTCAGAATAGTTAAGAAAACGCTTTGGCCATATTTTTTTAAGCGGGAAAATAAAAAATTTCAAACCCTCTCATATAAGAGAGAACAAATCTCTTCGTATGACCTTGGTAGCCCACCGGTTGGCTACATGTCCTGTTACTGCAAACCAGAGAGTCCCTTCATAGTTATAGAGCTTTATCCAGGCTCGTCTCTTCACAGCTTCCTTGAATGATGAATGGTGATGAATGATGAATAGATGAACTGTCACATTGGCATAATATAAGGGTCTTCATGAATTAGCAAGTCTAATTTCAGCTTCGCTTGGTAGTAAAAAGATTTTGTTTACGAAGTTCTGAAACAAAATTTTAGAAAAATAGTTAATCGTCCTATGTATTCATGTAGGTGGTTAAAATTTGTATTAAGAGCAAATTTTGTTGAGTTAAAGTCGAGAATTTGTTTTGTAGCTTTAAATTTAATCCCATTTAACACCTTGGATATTTAATGTAAAGAACTTTGACACGCACTCAATATTGCTTTTTTTTCCTATCATTTTTAGGTCGGTTATTTTTTTATTCTACCTCGTATATTGTGATAAAGTCACTGCTGGTGACGACTGAAATACTTAAATTAATGTATTCGCTTATGTGTGAGGAATAATGAGGATCGAAATGCGGACAATCGAATTGCGGTAAAAATATTAATTGGAATTTATTTTGTGGTGTGGTTTTCCGCCATGTTAAAAGTCTGAACTTTATTTTTAATTGGTTAATTACAGTACCCAGTTAATTCTTTCAAGTTGAATTATTCAGTTCAAAAATATAAATCATAGGAATCATCATTGGAAATATACAAGTAATATTTAGACAGTTCATCCCACCTTCAACAAATTTAATACCCTCATTTCAAAGGAAAAATTATTGTTATGTTATTCCAAATTTTAGTGACGTTCTTTAAGTATATGTAAGTAGAAAACAAAACCAATTTTTTTTGTACCTTTTTTGGACGCTTTTTCTTTTGATTAGCTACCAAACTAACAACAATTAGCAACCTTGGTGTGTCTAGTAGTAGTCTAGTCTAGAAAATAATTGGGATTCCAGTTCTCATAATCGTCGATTGATATTAAATGAAGGTTTCTCCTAAGGCCGTCGAAATTAGCAAAGGCGCTTGTAAAATTTCCTCTTCTTCCTTTTCTTCCATACTTTTTAATGAAACCTTTCGTTTGCTTAATTTTGGTAGATTCCGGACATGATGGACATTAGGACAAACCTATACCGCTATGTATTCTTAAAAAGCTTGTAAAATATAAATTCACAAACTAATTTCTTGAAAACTAAGTGAACTTTGATCAATATTAGGAAAAAAACTGCCTACGTCGCGTAAAATTGGAAGGTTCTATATTTACTAATAATCAAGATATCGCGAAATTACAACAAAAATGGGAAAGATATTACTATATATATATATATATATATATATATATATATATATATATATAATATAAATCTATTGAATTGACGCCGAAGTAAAATCTGGTAGGACAATTATTATTCTCACATTTTTCTAAAATCTGCGCAGAAGTAAAATTGTTATGAATAAGAATTAAACTAACATGCTAGAAAATTTTAACAGAGAGTTACTAAGTTAATTAATTTGATAAACTATAACTATGCACAAAATACTCAACTGTACTACAATTTTTCATTCTCATTTTTCTTTGCTTGCGTTATAACATTCACGTTATAGCATTCCTTTTAAAAGTATTTTAATATAATTACTTGGAAATTCTTCAATCTCCCAGATTACCGAGAAACTGCGATTTCGGAGGATAATCTTTAAATTGTTTCATAATCTACGTTAACTAAAAATAAAGTTACATTATATTTGCTTTGTAAACGTAGGCGTTCAAGCGACCTGTATACATCAATCTTGCACACCACTTTATTCGATATTAATTGATGTTTAATATATGTGACACAGAAAAATTCATTTTTTACTAAATCCAGCAATTTTTTGGTTCCATTAATCAAGTCGATTTTCCATTACACTTTATAACCACTTTCGTTTCGTTTAGCGATCCGCAAACTTCAAAACAAAATTAACAATATATCAAAAATTCGCAGTTAATTTGTTACCAATCAACCCCAATGAATAGAAAATTAATTGCGCGTATCCTGGATGAAAAAAAAGAGGCGACGGCAAGTCCAATACACTCAAAAAATTAATGATTACCGTCTGAATGTTAAATACAAAAATTAACTAAGCAATACAGCAAAATCGTCTGATTTATGATCGAATCGGATGATCATTCACTGCATTGAAGGGCAAAATATTTATTTAAAGTGTCTAGCATTACTTCCCGCTGGCTGCATGGATCACGTAGGTAGATAATATTAAAATTGTAAGAAAGAAAAGAAAAACCAATATTCGAACCAACGCTGTGACATCTACCAAGGTAGCAGCCATAACTAAGCAAAATAGTTTTAAATCTGTTGATTTTTTTCAGTATGTTCTACTAATATGGTAGACCGGTATCATCGTCTCGGACTTAGTATTGAGAAATGATTTATCGCTTACAGCTAAGCTGCAAAACTTTGTTTTTTTTAAATGCGACATCCTGTATATATGTACATATATCGTCGTTTTCTTGTTATTTCATATTTTATATCAAAGGAGTTCTTTCTAGTTAGTATTGATTTTGAAGACATGTTTTTGATTTTATTTACAACAAAACTCTCTGGAACTGACTTCCCAGATGATGTAAATTTTGACTGATGTAACATTATTGACAACACTGCACCCTTTAACCATTGTATTAAATAAGTATAAAAATTATTTCTACTAATCTGTCTCACATACGTCGATATGTATTTTTTAACGAGACAATATTCCATTAGAAATTATATTTGTACTACTCCATCAGACGAGTGATAACTATGAAACAAAAATTCAATCATTTTTCGAAATAGCTACACGTAGTTAAACGTAAAATTCGTTACTTGCAGCTCTAAATGCCCAACTTCGTTAAAGTGCAAGTCAGCTGTCGGCAATTTTCTCTGATTTGCCGGGTTCAAAAAAACATACGGTCAAATTTGTCAGACGACAAAAACAGAATTAACTGACAGAAATTCGCTACCCATTGCTTTTTAAACTATTCCAAATCTCTTGGCCGATGTTCCGGAGAAATTAAACACTCGGAAGTCTCATTAAATGTTTCGCTTTCTACTGCGAACTTTATCTTAATACGAATTTGATGTTTGTTAAGTTTCCGTTCTAGTCTTTAAAGGCTGCCAGTAAAAGTTTTACCAGGTAATTTGAAAAGTTTCAGTCTTTACTTTGTGAGTGTAGTTATGCTTGACGCATATTTATTTGTCCTGTAAAATACTTAATTTCACACCGATCTAGTGTGCGGGAAGCGTCACTTTAAACGTCCGTTTCGTTTCCCACGAATCCGAGCCACTTCGGACATTTCCGCGATTTTACCCCACAGGCTTGGGAGCAATCGGATGTTTTCGGAGATATTTCCCACGCTTTGAATTTTATCTTTATATTATCTTATCTTTGGGTAGTAATTTTTTGTATTTTCAATGAATCCAATCATTAATTCTACAATATACAGAAACTGCAGTAACTATTCTTAATTGTTATGCGGTAACAAAAGTTCAAGAACACTACTAAATGGCTTCAAGTCCGCTTGAATTGGAGAGGCAAGACTATTATTTTTTCTATTTGTTCTTGAGTATCGATGTCAACAACTAATTATTATTAACCTCTCTGTGTACAGTTTTTCACAATATACGGTATGCAATATTGTGACAAAAATACGTGGCTTTTCAAAATTTTCACATTTTGATATTGTACAGTTTGTCTTAATATTGGTTTCCTTTATTATAGTCGCTCGTATATTATAGCACTTTTAAATTCTCCAGGCAAAATAAATGTCTGAATAAAATTTATTGCACCTAAACGTTGATGCATTTTAAATAATTTCAATTTGATGTACCTACCTATATTTGTAATAATAAAATTAGTTACTAGGTGAAACCAATACTGTAAAAATAGTGCAGGAGACAGGGAAATATTGGATGATTTTCATTTTTTTTTGTAGTGACTCTAAAAGTTCCTGTATTATAAGCATAGTCAGCAATATGATTATTGGTAAAAAGAACATATATTGGCGAGTGATGCATATACAGAAAACGGCCATCAACTTCGAAACTTCGATTTTAAACACTTTTTCAAACAAATTTGCTGATGTAGTAAATTTAATGAATAACAGACAATGCATACAACAATCATCGGTCCATAATGGGAACGAAAACTATAGTGCCTGTTATATTTCGCCGCTTATATTATATTATATATATATATATTACATATTATATCATATTTATAACTAACCAAAACATCGTTTGCGTCCAGCTTAAAGCAATAGATTGTTGTAAAATCTTTGATTAGTCTGTTTTTTGATAATTTTTTGTTGAATAGATCTCTCAAAAACGCACTAACACTTTGTTTCTTATTACATCAACCTTAAGTCATGGAACTGGCACTAATTTTTCATGTCAAATATCAAGGACTATTAGGGATTTCTTTAAAAAATAGTGTCCACGGATTCTTATTCAGGACTACATAGAACCAAGTTAACATTAAAAACTGTGGTCATTGGTCTAGTTACCTTTAGGTAGTCCTGAACAAACACAAATCTGTTGTCATTTTCAATTTGCAAAAATCTCTAAAACTACTTCTCGATTTTCTTCTTCAAAAAACTGTCAGCTAGCCATACCCTGGCCTTTGTAAAACAAAGGTTGTCATGGAGAAGCGAATATTCGACAGTCAAATTCGCCCGCTAATTTATATTTTAATCTTGTTTACATCCTTCAAATACCAAAATTTATTTATAATGTTTTAAGATGATACTTAGTCATTTTTGTCATTAAAATTTTTAAGTTCTTAAAATCACTTACAAAATAATCGTTATTTACAAGGTTTACAATTTACACCCTGTATAAAACCCCAAGTGCAACTCCCAATAAAAACTGAGTATTAGGGAAACTAAAAATAAAAAAAAACAACAGTTTCATTCTTTATTGACAGTCTGGCTTAGCAAAGCAACAATCAATCTAATCAAAAAGACTGAATCCCATATCGTCATCTTCTTCTTCAGACTCCTCTTTCTTTTCTTCCTTCTTAGCTTCTGGAGCAGCGGCTGCAGGAGCTGCAGCAGCTGGGGCCGCAGCAGCTGCAAACTTAGATGGATCCTAAGAAAGAAGAGTTTATTTCAAATATACATTACAACAAAAAATTTTAATTACCTTAATATACTCCTTGATTGTAGCAGCCTCCTTAAAGTCGATGTCAGTAACTGCTGCAAGGGCCAGAAGATTTTTGAACCCATTAGCGATACTATGTGGCACAGAAGCAACAGTTGGATAGCCAATTGTTAAACATACAGATGCTATGTTAGCCACTCCTGCCAAAAACCTCTCTCTTAAATCTTCAGGTTTTATGTCCAAAATGGCTGGAGCAAAAATAGTGCCAGAATCATAAACCTGAACTACTTGCAAACCGTATGAAAATGGAGAAATATTTAACATATTCAGAAGAGTTGCTTCTGAAGCACCCACTTTGTCTCCAGGCTTCAGAATGTTGACATCATTAACGATTTCAATAGTACCTAAGAAATTAAAAAATTCATAAGTGGTAAATATCCCATTAATTCAAAATTAATAACCTCACCCTTAGCAATTTTCGTTGGGATACTCAAAGCTTGAAAGAAAGAAGTTTTTTCAGGTGGTAGTCCAGTATTCTGAGCTGGGATTACAACCGGTAGAGGGGCAATAGCACCAGCACGAGCTGGGGCACGGACCTTGTTCTCCAATAATTTGTCTCTGATTTCAACAAGATCTCCACGTGTAAAAACAAAGCCCACATTGCCCTTGATATGGGGCAAAATTTTTTCCAAAGAAGGATTGGATTCAAGATGTCCCTTGATTGCTTTACGCATCATGGTGTTCTTACCCATAAGGACCACAGCAGATCCTCTGAGCGAAATGCGGATTTGCTGCATTTGCTTCGAGCCGACATTGTCTGCGCCCACAATGAAACATTTTGGATATTCTTCCAAAAGTTGCTGAAAGTTAAATTAAATTACAACTTTCAGACAAACAAAAACATCATCGGTACTATTATTATAATGAATTTCTCAGATATGTAGTCCGCACGCGTCTAGGGGTTCAACCTTTTCAGGCACTAGACTTAGGAGACGAAAAAGTATCATCATAATATTACTTTCTGCACTTTGCTATTAATAATTCCTCAAACCCAAAATTACTTACGATTAGTTTTGTAAAATAGTTGGATTTCCAGGTTGCCTTGTCCTCCCTACCCATCTTCGATTGTGGCTAGGGACTCGAATTGAATTTAAGAACTGAAAGAAACAAGAGTTGTAAGCCACACATATAGCAGGTTAAAAAAATTTCTAATTTTTTTGCATTAAAAAAAATATTAACACAATCTGTTTAAGCAAGCAATTACGAATCAACAGCTATTGCCATTTTTAAAAAATATTTTAAGATTAATATAATATTTGAAAATATAGAACCAAGTTACTTACCAAGGCGATAAGCACGGGCGAAAAGATCGTTCAATAAAGGTAGTGCCAACTTTCTCATGCTCACCAAACTTTTGCCACGATCGCGGCACAACACCAACGTTAAAAACCAAAAAAAAACTAAATTTTGAATTTTAAAAACTAATACACTTAAAATAAGTTTTATTTTTAGATAATTAACGTTATTATCTTTGCTTTTATTATGCATTAAATTTCACAAAAGCAAATTTCCATTGCAGCATTGCAACTTTATGTGATCCCAGTGTTGATATTCTGTATTCTGTGGTGGTAGGTCGAAGCCGGCAGCGGCAAATATCGAGATAATAACCGACGTTGTTTTTAGGAATGTCGTGGTTTAACTTTATACCAGACATAAATTGGCGAGAATGTCAGGATTTTAATAAGATTTATTTTTTGTTAAAATATTGATTCCGGTAGCGAATGAAAAAATTAAAGAATTGTGAATCAGTATTTGCCAACAAATAATCAGAAGTAGAAAGTAAAATTTGCAAAAATCAAAAATTCAATCCTTTTTACAAATCTAGTGCAAAATCAGATTACCCATACGGGAGATATCCAAAGTGTCTGATGAAATTGTCGATAACCGTCGATATTTATTCGATACTTCATTTCTTGCTTTGATTGGTTCGTTCCCCCAACACGATACACAGTGATAAACATTTCGTTAACTTGATTTTATAGTGTTTTCCCAAAGAACCCCAAGAAAAAAACTTCAATTCTTGTGAAAGTGGTGGTAACCGGGCGAGGAAAACTGTAAATTTTCTTTTTTGAGCATTTTTTAATTTCCTACAAAGTAATTAAATTAACTCTTATGGCATTTAAACGCTAGTTACTTGATAAGAAATACTTGAGACAACAGAGCGACTGATAACATTATTTAAGTTGAATTACAAACTCAAAATTTAATGCCATTTCACATTTCTGATTTACTTTGAGGTTAACTATGGCAAAAGATATATGGGAAAAGAAAAACCAAATTTGCCCTTTGTTAAAAGAACCAGAGGTATATAACCCAGACACAATTGATTTATTAGACAATGAGAATGCACGAAACTACTGGCTACCGTGCTTGGAAGCTATGGTGGAGAGATTTACTAACAAAGCAGGGTCTCTGAACCCAGACAATCCCGAAGCTTCAGAAATTGCCAAAATTTGTTATCAAGAATTTCAGGATTTACTTGCTAAAATTAAGTCTGATCCACTGTAAGTATAACTGATTTTGTAATATTAATTGTCTGACCGTATAGGCAAATTTGTGATGCAATCAATGCAATTGGCTGTAAACTAAGAGATAAATATTCATAAATAAAAAGTCAAAATTTTGTTTTTTGCAGTGCCCTGAAACCATTATCTATAAGGACTTTACTAGAGTTCAACGAGGACAATTTGAGGTCTCATAATTTAAAAGACGCCTGGCACATGCAAAAAGAGAGTGAATCATTGCAAGCCTTTCAAGAATTCAATGATAGATTAATTGATATTGATTCAATCAATGATTTTGAAGAAAAATGGCAGGAACTTATAAAAGGTGCCTTAGCGGGAAACGTTTTTGATTGGGGTTCTTTTGCGGTTTCTAGTTTATTGGAAACATCAACTCGGTTTGGTTTTGGTGAAGCGATGAAGACAATAGAACGAAGGCCTTGGTTTCATGATAATTTCGATGTCTGGATTACCCATTTAAATGTTAGTATTTATTTAGAACTTAGGAAATGATTATGAATTTTTGATTAGATAAACAAATAAGGAATTCCAAGTTCACTTAACATTTCAATGATGTTTCTTTTTATCATTTCAGAGGCAACCTTATAAGTGTGTGGTGATATTCGTTGACAACGCTGGTGTCGACTTTGTTTTGGGTGTGTTGCCCTTGGTGCGAGAATTTTTATCCTTAGGCTCAAAGGTGATATTAGCTGGCAATTCTTCACCCTCACTGAATGATGTAACCTACAGTGAGCTAAATGTGTACTGCTGCAAGGCAGCAGAGTATTGTAATGTCATAAAAAACGCAATCTCCACTGGAAAGCTCGTTACTGTCGAAAATGGACAACATGGTCCCTGTTTAGATTTAACCAGCCTTTCGCCAGGTGTGTGTTAATGTTTATTGACATGATGGGAATGTTTTTTAGAAAAGCAATGCTTTTTTTTTAGAACTGTGCAACTTAATAAAAGCCTCGGATCTTGTAATTCTGGAAGGAATGGCTAGAGCAATACATACGAATCTCGATGCAAAATTTACGGTGGACAGCATTAAAATGGCGGTTTTGAAAAACGAGTGGTTGGCGAAAAGTTTGGGTGCCACTCAGTTTGCTGTTATTTTTAGGTATGAACCAGCCGCGTGAATATTATACTCTGGTACCTGTTCAATCATTGTAGCTTTAAAAATGTCAGTAGGGCTGTTTTATTTATATGAGAGTAAAAATTGGTAAATTGCTAGAGTTGCTAAAAAATCATTACCTTTTTTTTCTCAATTCCATTATAACTTTATTTTGTTGTCGCATTAGCCAAGGAAATTTTATTTGGATCTCGCTATTGTTTGTGATATATAATTTTGTACTACAGTTCAGGATATTTTAACCAGATCTAAGATAATTAGGGAGATACATTTTCCAAAAAAAAAAGGGCAAAATTACTCTATTTCTAATCAAGTAAAGGAATGCGACCACAGAGCCTACATGCGGATTTAAAAAAAAATGATTGTATTTTTTTAATGTTTTAAAATTTATGCACAGGGTTTAATGTAATATATCTATGTTAATACAATCATGTAAATATGACCTGTATAGATACATATACTATATCAAGACTGTAAATATGTATTAAATTTGACTATTATAATAATCTTTGGAAGTTAATTGTTTACTTATTATCCTAGATAATAATTTAATTAAACCTCAACACACCAAATAGATTGAGCAGAGGATTGATCTGATAGTTCATATCTAGAATCTGCAGGGAAATGTCCCTAATTCTAATGTACAGAAAGTGTCAAAAATTCAAATAACTTTTTAAAACAAAATCACCTGAAAATACAAGCAGAAAATGTGTTGTGTGCGCTAGAGTTTCAATTACGTAACTTTATAACATTTGGTTATTCGTACCGCGACTGGTTTGAATGGTGGAAAAATTCTGAGAATCGTAATTAAATATGGGCATAGCTTTTCCGTACGTATATTGAAAATCTTCTCTATATAAGCGGCTAACAAGAGAGCCGCGTGTGCGACATTTTTTTCTGCCGCTACACCTAGCGTCTCAAAAATTTGATTTTAGTTACACGTTCTGGAATAATTTACCTTTTAACAGAATTTTTTTGCAATAAAACCAAAAGAGTATTATCCAAGATTCCAAACTACTTGTCCAATTGCAATTAACGCGTCAAACTTCTTTTGACGAGGATATGATACGTCCCATCCCGTGTTAAACAGGCTAAAATAAATCTCCGAAACTGATTACAGTCTTTGGTCTATATCTCATGCTTTTCTTCGTTTACGCGGATCTCTGGTCGGGTAGATCAAATATCTGTAGAATGTTCAAGGTCATCGTATACATAACCGCACTTTTTTGTATATTGTAAAGCTAAATAAAATCATGGAATTTGTGGATTTTATAACAACTCCCAAATTGGATGGAGTTATACTACACACGCCATTTCACGAAGCTATCGATGGCACGCTTTGTATTACTGGTCATCATTTAATTCTTTCCACTAGAAAAGAAAACATTCAAGAGCTATGGGTAATACAATAATTGAATATTATTTGGTTGTATATATGTTCGTTTAACTCGCTGCATATCATTTTAGTTACTCATACAGTGTATTGATGCTATCGAAAAGAAACAACCTGTCGCAAATACACCCCAAAGTGGGGGAACAATTATACTGAAATGTAAAGACTTTCGGCTGCTTCAGCTGGATATCCCAACTCCATATGATTTTCACAATATTTATACATCGATTGAACGTTTATCTAATTTAGACAAACCTGAGTTAATGTATCCCTTTTTCTATAGACCAATGTACACAATCCTCGAGGATGGTTTCACTTTATTCAGGCCAGAAACTGAATTTGCAAAATTAACTGCCTCTGATGAATGGCGCATTTCTTATGTTAATAAAAACTATACTGTATGCAGGTCTTATAGTTCAACTTTGGTTGTTCCCAAAGTCATTGATGATAATACAATTATTGCTGCAGCTGGTTTTCGTGAAGGTGGAAGATTTCCTATATTAAGTTATAGACACGAAAATGGTTGGTTTGCAATTGCTTCTTTTGTTAACCAATTCCTAATAATAATAATAATACAAGTTATGGAAGTTGAACAGGTTAAATATTGATTTACCTAAACTAAAATATTTTTTTAATAGTTTAATAGCAACTTGATTTGGTTAAAATTGTTGCACAAAAATATTTAGGGTACTACATTCAATAATAATCCTTATTTTTGGTCAGATTAATCAGGTCTGATTTCATCCTGTTTTCCTGTGTATGCTTAGACTTTTTTGATTATGATTAATTATTTTATCTGTTTTAGGGGCAGTGTTGTTGAGATCTAGTCAACCATTACTGTGTAATAACAATAAAAAATCTGCTGCAGATAAGAAAATGTTAGATTCTGTATTAGGGCCTTGTAAAAAAGGTTACATTATTGATACACGCAGCCCTGGTTTAGTAAGTCATTCTAAAGGAAAAGGAGGTGGTACTGAACCGGACGGTCATTACACACAGTGGAAAAAAATTTTCAAAAATTTAGATAAGTTAGTAAAATGTGATGGATCAGTATTAGAGCATTTTGGTAAATTAATTGAAGGTAAGTCATGTAAAACATTCTTTTGATTTGTTTAAACTGGTTAGTTTCATTTTGTAGCATGCAATGATACAGGGATAACTACAGACAAATGGTTGTCTCGAGTTGAAAGCAGTCACTGGCTAACTCATGTGCAAAATATTTTGAGTACAGCTTGTTTAGTGGCACAATGCTTAGATAAAGATGGAGCGCCTGTATTGGTTCATGACTCTTCCGGCTTAGACGCTACTCTATTAGTGACTTCTGTGGCCCAAGTCATACTTAATCCCGATTGTAGGACTGTAAGAGGTATTTTTTTGTAATTCAAAAATTCAATTTTTTTTTAAGATCATTTCAAGTCCTCCGAGTTTTTTACAGAAGAAAGTTTTTATTTTTGTAGGATTGCAAGCCCTGATAGAACGCGAATGGTTACAAGCAGGATATCCATTTCAAACAAGACATCTGAAGTTCTGCTTTTCAACTATCAAATCGAAAAACCAACAGCCCACATTTTTGTTATTTTTGGATTGTATACATCAGCTGCACTACCAATTTCCCTACAGTTTTGAATTTACTACTCCTTTATTAATTCATATTTTTGAGAATTCCTATTATAGTAATTTTGGTATATGCTAACTTTTAGGTCAGACAGTTTACTTGGTAAATTCCTTGTTTGCAGGTACTTTTATAGGGAACAATGAATGTGAGAGAAAAGAATTAAAATTATCAGAAAAAACCACGAGTTTTTGGTCATATTTGAATAGACCCGATGTTATAACAACCTTTTTAAATCCAATGTATGAACCGAACAAAGCAGCAATCTGGCCAAGTATAGCTCCAGTCAGTTTGGTGCTATGGAATGAATTGTTTTTAAGGTAACAAGTAGTGCTAAGTCAGTAATTAACTGTTGAAAACAAATAATTTTCTTCAGATGGGTAATTGATCAGAAGCACCAGCGAAGAGCAATGGTTAAAATAGAGCAACTAATTCAGAATGACAAAGACTTGAGAAGTAAAGTGATCCGTATGAGAAAGCAACTTATAGATCTGCAAAAAGAATTACAAAGTCAGTATCTAGATAATGAAAATCTACTTTTAGATGAAGGATGATCTTTGAAGTGCTTAACAACCAACTAATCGGACAATTCTTTGTCCTAGTGATCTTTCCAGAAAAATGATTAGTGCTATAAATATATATTTACTATTTGTTATCAGGTAGGATTAAAATCATATCAAAATATTATAGAACCTTTTCGAAAAAATAAGTAAAGTGTTAGTACTTTTGCTGTCTACACATCATTCTACATTTTATATCTATATGCAAATGATTTTTTTAAGAACTGAATTGTAGTAAAACATTTTACATAAATTGGATGAGCATAATATAACATATAGCTAACAACAGAACCACATCCTTGGTCGTCGGGTATATGCGAATGTTATGCACCAAAAAAGCAAAAAGCTCAGTACAATGCAATTCAAAACTATTTACGCCTGCATTGTTTAGTTTATTCGTAATAGTGAATTAACTGCAATTTTTAGACCCAAAAGAACTTCGAACTTTTATTTAGTTTCAAAAGTGTTATAAGGAATACAACTTACAATAATTTTGCCTGACTTTTATTTTTTATTTTTGCGTGTGTATTTATTTAATGAATTGCTCTCCATTTTGGTCCACCACTGTGTTCACTGTGATTTTTGATTTTTGTTAAATATTGTTTTAATTTAGATTCTAATTATTCCAATTACCGCATTTTATACTTTTTAGTTAGTAGAGTTGTTTATTTTTTTTATTACCATTTTGTTGGAAAGAAAACAGATTGCAAAAGTCTCATCTAGAAAAATATATTTGTATACTGTTATTTATGTATGATCTGAACAAGAGTTTTTAACTCTATAGCTAACTGTTATTATATTATTTTTTATACCTAAATTTAAATGTATTTAAAGGTATATTTTTTCACTTGCATTACTTGTTTTTGTGTACCTGTTGAATAAACTATGAAAATTATTATTGTATTATGGCATCCTTTATTATCTAAAAATTACTGAAATAATTTAGAGTGGTGTTGATTGTGATTGCATAGACCGGAAACGTCACTATAAAAGAAATACAAACAACAACACAAACAAATTAAAATTCATATAGGTGCGAGTTTGACGTCACTCCTCTGATTTCCACTCTTAGAGATCAACTTGCTTTTAAATAACGGTCTTCAGTTATATTTATGAAGACATTATAAAAAAAAACGCAAATTTGTATTAAAATAAAGCACTAGATTGTTGAATAACAAACAATAGAGCAGTTAATAGTTAATAGAAATTGGGATAATAAATGACCATATCGACCAATTTGTTAAAATTGGCGGTCACAAAAAATAATGTCGACACAAATAGTGCTCCAAATTAAATTTTATTATTTTAGTACCTAATAATAATAATATTTTTCGGGATCCTCATTGTATAATTTCAACTTTGTCCAAATCCTAACATATTTTTATTTTTTCATATACCCAAGTTTACTTAATTGCTGAGTGTAATTAATAATTAATTAATCGAATGAGGTACGTGCCTCAAAACTAGGATACAAAGAGTTGATTGTAAATGTAAATTGCAAATAACATCTTGTAACGCCAAATGAAATATTTTACTCTAAAGTAAGATATATTAATGTCGCATCAGGACATTTGTCGTTTGAACGTAATGTTACCAATAAATAAATTAAAATAAATAGTAATTCATTCATTCTTTTGAAAACTTATTAGTGCAGTTATAACGACTAACAAAAAAATACTAATACCTAATTAAAAAGCATCAAATCTTCACAAGTTCTTATTTGATTAACACTATGATAAATTTTGACAAAATTTAAATGAGGAATTTAAAAGTGTTACCTTATTTGTACAATTTACAATTAGAAATTTTATGTAAAATTATATACAAAAGTTATGCAAACGTCAGAACGGAATATAAACATTTTTTAAACTCCCTTCTCCAAAATTCTCAATTATGCATCAGCTGCGTTAACCACTGTTGCAAGCCACACGGGCGTTTCCTTTGTCAATTCTGATGGTCACGTCACATGTCACATAGTGAATATATTCGTGCTGTTTTGCCCATTCGAGCATTTTCGGTGCTTTAGTCACAGGTTTGGGAGCCGGTCGGAAGGTACATTGAAAACGCTGATGGTATTTTTCAAAAAATATACCCAAAAGTAATGGTAATGGTTGATAAACTTCTCCAGTCACTCGTTTACTAAACATTTATTGTTATATAAATTTAATTAAATATGGTCAAAATTATCTTTTCTTGAAAGGAACAAAAGTTTTTAGAACTTGTGAAATTTTGAAAATAATTTTTCTGTTAATTGATTTGCATTTTTTACAAAATAAATGACTTGACAAAACATATCAATTAAGTAGCTCCTCTCACAACTCCTGCAGCAACGGATTTTTAAAACATTTTTTTCTATATAACAATTGGATGTGAAAAATATCAAATATTAGAAATTGGAAAATATTATTGTCTAAAGCGACAGAGCCTTACTGTTTGTGAATGTACAAATGGTAGATTAATTTGAATCACATCATTTATGTGTCTTCTATTTCAAGTAGATTTTCTTCTGAAATAAAGAAAATAATCTCGCAATTTTTAAGTGATGTTTCGTTCCTCAGAAACAGCGTAGTGGATTGGTCAAGATGGCATCAACAACAACCTCTCGCATGCGACATGCCCTGGTCTGTGCGTTAGAGGTGTCGGATTATTATTTTTTAATCCCTTCTCGTTGTACAGGGTGTGAATGTAATTCAGCCAAAAACTTTTATTTTGCGGCGTAAGAAGTTATTACAGTTTAAACAGTAACGGTTAACAAAATTTTATGGTAATTTTCAATTTTTTTTACAAATTTCACGAACCCCTTCTAACATGCTATTGGCGTTTTTCTAATTATTTTTTGGTGCCACTTAGACGGTGTCTGTTAATGTTTATTTCTAGTTCTAGTCTAAGTATAATAAAGTACAAACGGGATATTACAAAACGTGCGAACCTTCCTTACAGGACTGCGCATATTTTCCAAATTCTTCGAAAAATTAAAATTTTCCACTACCTTACACATTCACACCCTGTATAATGAAACGGGATTAAAAAATAATAATCCGACACCACTGTTGCATAGGCCAATTATTGCCCTTTATACCACCAAAACCCGTTAAGAAAAGTTACAGCTAAGCAAAATTAGGCAACATTTTTGGTGTCTCATTTCATCTGCTGTTTAGTTTAATTTAGATTCACGTTAGAGCAGTATTGTCCAAACTCAATAAGCAACAATAATAAAATATTGTTATCCGTTTTTATGTGTATATGAGTTTAATACATTTTTTAGTATAAAAAAAATTGTGTTTGTAGTATTTTATCAAATGATCAAATATAATCACTACTTTAGAGGTTTTTGTGTGAAAATTTTGAAACAGGTTTGAGTTACAACCTAAAAGAGCTTCGATTTCCATTGCCTTTATTTGACCTAATTACACAAAGTTCAAGCAAATGGAGCAGCGTCCATCATCACGTGTAGGGGAAAGGTAGTTAATATGACATAGACGGGTAGCAATCTGCGTATTATCAAAAAGTTATTATAAACTGTATTAAGATTTTATGCTGAAATAAAACTAAGTCATCTTATCAGCCTTTTCCCTATACTGTTTAAGCTGGATACAAATTCTCTTGCGAAAATCTAGGTCAACAAATCAAACGCAATTTCTCAAAGCTGAAAATGTATTATCAAAATTTGTGACATTAAGAAATCGCTCAAAAACGCGCGAACACATAATGGTAGGTACAATGGTCCAATCGAAACAAATATGCGGGTACTCTAAATCCTATCTTCTATTAATGCGTGCACGACAATAAGGCTGTACGCGCTTAATAAATGAGCAGCGCGTGTCCCACATAACGGGCTCGAGAGTGGGATCTCATACGAAATAAATTACCTAAGACTTTATTAATAAGTGGGGTGTAAATTTGGGAAAGAGGGTTTAAAAAATCTCTGATGATCTCTATAGCCGAGCTATTTGGAACAAACGTGGGCACTCAATTTCATTAAGTACTTTAAACAAAATATTTCCTTAACCCGAGTACGTTGAGCCTAAAGGCATCGAACTAGGCTAAACCAGCGGCGTGCCCGTGTGGACCTTTTGTCCACTTTAGACACTTTGGCCAATCAAAACTAGCAATAACATTTGGCAAGGGATTTTTTAATTGATTGGGAGTGAATGCGAAACTTTCCAACGAGAACTTTATGACACTTGCTTTAAAAAACACCTTATTCACCCTTTCACACTTTTGACAACCCGCATAAATGGTGAGAAAGATTAAGATCAAATTTGTCAGGTAATATTTAACCTGATATAAAATCCTAATGGAAAAAATCTAAAACGCGTACACTCAACTTCTGTTCGATTCTTGCCAGTATGGACTGGGTGTATTTGGTAGAGCAAATGTATAATGAAATGCAAATTTTCTCTTAATGTATTAAAAAATGAATTTTCATTCATAACGGACCAATTTGGTAAACATCCATGGCACATTCCATTAAATAAAATTATATGTAATAAAAGCACCGACAAAATAGTTTATGCTTGATAAACATAATCGTCTATTAATGCTAGGATGAGCTGCACCAAAATATTCTAGGGCCTGCCTAGCCAAGATATACATTAAATTAATGCAAAAAAATCTTCAATAATAATATTTGGTGACAAATTCAAGGTAAAGAAATAAAATGTTCCCACATTGGTAGAAATTTGGGACTAGATTTCGATATTAATCTTCGTTTTAAACCTCATGTTAATAAGATGATACGCAATGCATGTGGTTATAGCCAAAGACACATTTGTTGTCAAAGTCATTAAAAACAAGGTTGATTGATTTGTTGGTTTTAAGTAACTTTAATTTTTGTGATATTGTATATGGCCCATGTTTGGATTTGTGTGACATCGATAGAATACAAAGGGTCCAAAAGACGTGTTTGCGTTTCATTTATATTATACGTACCAGGGATTCAGTTTCATATAAACTTAAAGAAACAAAATAACTAATAATGGAAATTTGGCGTAAATTACATTCAGTTACTCTGTTTCATAATATAATATTGAATAAGTGTCCGCAGTACCTTTATAATAAAATCAGTTTTCGTACTGACGTGCATATGCTGAACTTGAGATTTCGTGGCTCTTTCACAGATCTTTCTCTTATAAGGTCTATAAGCTGTATAATAGAGTTCCGAACGCAAGCAGAAAGCACCTTCTCGAGAATGATTGTGTGTACCATTTTTACTAGAGTAACTTCTAGAGTATTTAGTGTATCGTAACAAGATTTGCTTTGAATAAATGGTATAAAAAGAGGAGAGTCTAGAATATTTCCCACTTTTCGGTCACTTCTGGTTTCGCCAGAAATGACTCCGCCTTCAATTTGTCAAATGCGACTCACTGAATGTTGAGACATTCTTGGTTTTCTGAGACTTTTAATAATGCGTCTAGGTGGCCATAATTGGATGGAAACTAAGAGACTCAGTTAATGCCACGATTGCAAAGTTTTTGTGACTACATTTACGTCTCAGCCTTTTTTAAATGGCGACGCTTTTTGGACAAACACTTGTCGAAAAAAGTATTTTTTGAAGAATCTAACGATACTAATTTATATGGGATTGGATTAAAAATTAGTTAATAAATTAAATACATTACCAAGTAAAATATTATACTGGGGATAGTAATTCATTTACTTTTGTCAAGGATTGTCAGAAATCTAAAAATATACAGGGCGGCCCATTTAAACAATTAAAACCGGAAGTGATCGAAAAGTAAAACATCCCAATTTTTTTTTCTAAAAGAAATAGCTTTACTCATATTTTCGTTAACACCCGGTATATGTTAGTATTCCCCGAAGTACTTACTGCGATGTTAAAAATATTTTAGCTGGTTTTAAAAGTTGTTCTAGTTATGAATCGACAAAAAAAGTGCGGAAAGAAATGGGTAAACTATGAACATATTACTTTGTTTCGTATACAGTCACCCATTTCCATCAATATGTTCATGATTCACGTTAACTTATGGGGGTAAATGGGGTAGATGGTAGGTAAC